CCCCAACAAACCAGGTTCCATTACCTGTCTTCTATAAGCCAAATAAAAGAGCCAAGTTTATAGTGAAAAAAAGAAAAAGGAAAGTTTTTTCAATGTGGCCACATTCTGAAGAGTGACAGAGATCCAGTGATAACTCTGCCTCCCAGCAGTCCATCTGCAGGGTTCTGACATGAGGATAACATTTAAAATAAAGGCAAGAAATATGTTTAACTGAGCAGTCCAGTAAAGGTATGGTTGAATAGTTAGAAATAAAATCTGAGGTTCAAGGCTCCCCTCCCATACTGCACAGAGAACCCTTGGACAAAGTGAAAGTAACTCACCAAGACAGCTTTTACTTCTCCAAAATACTGCATGGTGCAGTTCAGACTGCAAAAGTACACTGGAGAGAAGTTTGATCGGCTTTTGACCTAACTAAAGAGCACTGTCTTTTCCCCATTGGCTGGGGTCTAACCTCACAGTCTTTCATGGTTAGCTAGCTTTAAATGCCTCAGTGCAAAGGAAATGAAGAAGGGGCTAAAGGTTGGCCCAAGGGGAAAGGGCTAAGCTGCCCATGCCATCAGGTTCCAGAAATGCAGTAGGGAGTTTGCATAAACAAAAGTTTTATAGGATAGGTGTATTAAAACATTTGAATTCCTTGTCCTAAGTTCTACAGCGTTTGACAGAAAAGACTATACTTAAGGTTTCTTATACCCTGTCCACCACTTTCTCACTTCAGATACTCTCCTACAACATCAACTGATAAGTTGAAAAAATTTTCACCTCCAGACAAGTTCTTCCTCCAGCAGACAATTTCCTCCTCTGCATGCCTCTGGGGCTTTAGTCATTTCTTCTCCCAGGAAATACCCTGTGAAATTCTAATTTCTCAGCATCTATTCTTTTAATAGTCCTAGAGCCAAAGAGAGGAGCACAAGTGACTCTTTAGAATATATTTAGTGTTTGGGGCTGGAGAGATGCTCAGTGGTTAAGAGGACTTGCTGTTTTACAGAGGGTTCAATCTCCAGTACTGGCATGCCAGCTCCCAACCACTTATAACTCCATTTCCGGGAGATCGGAGATCTGAACTTCTGGTTTCTCTGGGCACATGGTGCACATTCATACATTGCAGGCAAAAGATACATATGAAATAAGATAAATAAAAGATAACATCTATATATAAGAAGAATATATTAATTACTGCCAGACAGACCACTTCCATATCCATTAAAATTGTTATTTAGACACTTTTTGCTTTAATTAACTAATTAATTAGTTGTTTAGTAATAGGATCACTCTATGTAGCTCAGTAGTTCAGATTGACTTTGAATTTGACACCCTCCTGTCCCAGCCTCCTGAGTGCTGGGATCAGAAATATGCATTACCTCAGACAGCATTTATCTCTGTGAGCTGTATGTCCCATCACCCCACAGTTAAAACAAACTTAGGATTTTAAATCTCTATTACCTTATGTATGTATGAACTATTTGAAGATAATGCTTACAGAAGCAGCAACTTCAAAAGTAACTATTAGCATGAACTTTATTAAGGAATAAACTTGGACGCAGAAATATACATTACAGAAAGACAGTGTAAAAATCATAGAGAGAAGTCAGTCATCAGTTGACCATAAAACACAACTCTTACCTCAAAGGAGATAATTATGGGATAGTTTATTCTGGAGCCAAATATGAATTATCATGGGCCAGGAACACAGGTCACCACAAATTCCACTTTCCAACTTGAAGTAGTTTCATGAAGTTCTAATAATAACAGAACAA